TTTACTTGTATGGTAGTGGCGAGCATTTATATAGGGCTTACTTTGTGGTCAGATCGTGTCCAATCAGTTAAAATATTAAATCACTTCATCCTGATGATCATCCTAGGAGATAGGTTATCATACCTGTTTTACAGATCAGGAAATGGAGGTGTGGAGAGGTTGAGTAACTCGCCCAGGGTCACACAGCTAATACATGGTGAAGTAGGGCTTTGAATTCAAGCAGCCCAATACCTTTGCTCTTAATAAACTGGAGTACGTTGTTCTTTGCCAGTTTAAAATTTGCAGCCATTTGGATGGGCATCGAGTTTTGCTTACCTTGTATACAGTCTTTGAAGTATTGGGTTTACTACCGAGTAAAAATAAATGTTATCAACAGAACTGTAAAGTTAACTTTTTGCTAAGAAAAATGGTTTTAAAAAGAACCTAATTTAAGGCAAAGAGCTGATTTTCTTATTGCAAATTATTTCTGTATGCTAATTGAGAAAGGATCTGAAGGATGTTCTTTTTTGGGGCAGCAGTTTTTCTCTTAATTTGCTACTAAAGTGAAAGGTATGAAATGTATCTTAAATCTTGAAAAGATAAGAAAAGCTATTGTAGCTTTTTTCTTTTAATTTCTTTTTTTTTCTTTAAATGACTGAGGCAAAAAGAAATTAGCCACTTGGCTATATGTAGCTGGTGATTATTTGAAAGTATTTTTGAAGACTTTTTTTTTTTTTTCCTACTAAATCTTACTCTGGTTTGAAGCTCATTAGATATGGTGACTAGCTTTGAAGTTAATAAAGGAGTGGAGATCTTGTAAGTGTGTCATCTTCTGGTTTGTTCTCCTGTGTTCATTTCTACATCCCATTATCCTTTGGTAGTCTTTGGCAAGTTGGGACTCTGGATGCTTTGTGGAAAAAGTCTTAGGGGTCAGTCTTCTAAATTGTTGCATTGAGTGACCCAGAAAACCTACATGGCAGATTGTGGATGAGAGATCTCGAGAGGAAACAGATTTTCCATTGTCACTAATGTCTTCTGATTTTGTACAGTTATGTTCCCTCCCCCAACCCCCACAAAGAGTGATTGTCTCGGTGGAGTCATTACCTGAGTGACAGGGTGATGAGCTGGTCTAGGCAGCTTTTCCACAGTGTAGGGGAAGTTCTCCTGGGCACTCTTGGTCTTGGAGATTGGATCCCAACCTAACATGAGATGGCATTGAATCACATAATAAGGCAAGTATTTGCTTTGCATTTTTCTTTTGGTCGCTCTGCTGATTCAAGGAGAAAGTTCATTTTGCACACTGCTTCTTGACCACCTTTCCATTCCTTGCGAATTTCCCTTCATCACAATGAGCGAGCAGCCCTTGTAGGGCGTCAGCGTTGATGGGCAACTGTGTTCAGTCAGAAGGTAGTTACATGGTTTTAGTGTGTATAATTCTCTTCGGCTTTTTATGGGGAATACTAGCTTTCTGTTTATAGTGAGCATAAAGTGTTTCTTTCAAACTTCATTGTATTCAGAGTAAAAAGGTGAGTCAATCTAAAAACAAGTACTAGAGAATATAATAACACAGGTAGTAAGTAGCTATGGCAAAATTGTGAATTTGGTAGAGGAATGACACAATCTTGGGAACTACTGGTATAATATCTGCTGTAATTTTTACAGCAGATCCCGTTTCTAGTTTGAAATTACTGGGACTAGATTGGTTTTAGAATTTAGCATTTTCAGATCTTTTTGGAATAATGCTTACATATATGATATGACTGGCAATGCCATTCTCCAGTGTGGTAATATTTCTGCAGCAGAATGCATGAGTATTCACACCAGATAAGGTAAATAAAAACTCTGCATGGCCTCATATGGATTCAGGTCAGATTTTGCACCAAATATGTTTGTGAGCCAAACTGATACAGAAAAGTTTTGATTTTAAGAGCTTTCTCGATTTCAGAATTGGAGATAAGAGATCATGCACCTGTCTTTGTTAACAAGTGACATCGTCTTCTAAAACACCAGTCAAATTATGAAGAAAACAAATTAAACCCCAGTTTGGTCAAAGTAACCAAAGGAACTCGGCCATCTTGGAGTTTATTTTACTGCTTGGTTTGATCTTACACATTCTGACCTGCTGCATAGGGCCAGGTAGATTTGTTTGGGGGGGGGGGG